ACACTATCCATTAACATGCAGGTGACTTCTTAGATTTGGTGCCAGCTTTTTGGATTTCTGGTAAATATTCTGTCCCCTATTGTAATTAAGTTACATATTTTCAAATATTTTGGATAGGCCTGAACTTTCTTTCTTTCTTTTTTCCAGCTTCCTTTTGACCCATTCCCTCATTTCCTCTCTTGGAATAAAATAAGAGACTTTGGGGCAATTTTTCACTAATATATCACCCTGTGATCTGTAGACCAAATCAGTTCAACAATACAAATTCTTTTCATCCTTTTCCTTACAGAAGTGGGCGAATGGCATGTGAACTGGACCTGAGTTTTCTTCATGCCAAGAGCTTGTCTCTTGTTGTAAAATCAAAGGTGGGAAGAGAAAAATTTTGAGTGATTCATTCAGAGTACCTTGCAAAAAGATTTCTGAAAATATTGGCTAATGGCTATCCAGTTCTAAATAGTGTTTCAGTTATGCATTGTTCAACCAATATTTCTATTTGTGCATATGTAACTGTACTGCAAATATAGGATGGTTCTATAGTGTCCTTGGAGTAGTCAAATAGGCCACAAATTAAAGAGGCTAAAAAATGTGTATGTAAACAAGCAACTGACGATGAGTAGAGCTTGCAAGAGCAGAGGACCAGCACATTGTGTCAAAAGAAAGTTCAGCAATTTTCCCAGAATGCTGAATTGTGGGAACTTCTGCTTTACCAGTGAATAGTCATGCTATTTTTAACATTTTTATGACACAGTTTGTCACAAGCTGTCTCAGGAGACTATCAACAATCTATTTCAAACAAAAATTCAACCCCACACATTTCTCCACTGGAGATGCTGAACATCTGGAGTGAAGGGATACAGTTTCCAGGGATGTCAAGGAGGGGAGAGCAGCAGTTCATTCCTTGGTTCTGACCTCATAGTTGATTCACATTTGCTTCAGATTTGTGACACTGGACAACTGAACAGGCTGTGGTAATACTCAGCTTTGACAGAAAGAAAGAAGCCCTCCTCTAATCCATGAAAATTGAAGTTTTGTTCCATCCTATTATGTTGTAGAATTCCCAACCATTTGTAAATGATGTCCCCAATAGTTAGAACATTCTTTCACCTAGCCCACTATTGAATTGATGCATAAATCTGCAGCCCTTTCAGGAGATGATGAAGACTGAATGTGGAATCCTTTGCATACAAATGATGCACTTTATCACTGACCTACAGTCTGTCCTTGTCAAGTGGCTGAGCTGAAAAAAAAGCCCTCAGAAACCAACCAATATCAATAATATTCACATACCCATTAAAATTGATTTAAAAAAAAAGCAGCAATAGCACATATTCTCTGTGATTCTTTGAATTGTCTCATTCCACTTGGGAGAAAAGTTATCTTGGGGGAAATATAAAAGATAAATAGGAAGTCCAAATCATTCCCTAATATGCTATTGTTCACCTCCATTTCTTCCTCCATGTGTCCCTTTTGCACTCTGTGTAATCATTTTATTCAAGGTTACGAGTCTCCAAATGGTGTTGGATAGTGGCTGCTTGTGGAATATGAACATCGATTTATTTGATTGTGCTGAACGAGCACCTGGGGTCAATGGAGCGACAAAGAGAGCAATAGCAGCTGAGGAGAGGGCATAATCTCCTTCTCTTCTCCCTGCTTATGGGCTTGTATTTTTTTAAATACAAAGAGGCAGTGGGATGTTGTGAAAGCCTCAGTTAGAACTGTGACAATCCAACTCTGCTCAAGCTGTCATTATGGCAGTCGAGAATGAGTCGGGACTGAGGGAAGACAGGTATCATTTGAAAAGAGCCTCTAGGAATCTATTACTTGCAGGATTTCCTTCCAAAGTGTGTAATTACAATAGAGACTGCCTCTTCGACCCACTGCTTAGGGGAACAATGATGGCAATGTCTCAGTCTCCCTTTTCAATTTGAGAAATTCAGCTTGGAAGTTAATGGGGGAATTATCTCCCCCCTCACCCAGTTTTGGGAGAGAGAGTAACTAATCTTATTACTGACTTCGTTCATACTGCAAGGGGATATGATGTTGAAAAACTGTCTGCTCAGGATAATTATAACTTTTGGGGAGCCCCTAGATATTTTCTGTGCTCGCCTATTTCAACTGCAACGTGGATATATTCAGGATCTAAGCCACAGATGGAGCTGTTGTGCTGCACCACTCAGCATACTTCACTAATCCTTGGTCCACCGAAAGTTGTAAGTCAGCAAAATTCCCAAAAGCAAAAATAGAAAGACTTTTAGGTGCTACAGGAAATGTTTGGCAGCTGTCATTTCTGCCAAAGCTGGTGTTACAAAGTAGTGACTGAAAAGCATCCAATCGTTTGTACCTGCCAAATTCACTGCACATAAATCAGAAGTCTGCATCCACATTTGTAGAACAATGTCATGTTTTATTTTGTACTATGTCAAGGCTGTGTGGGCTTCTGTTCCCCTTCATATGGTTTCTTCAGCCAGAGCAGAAGCAGTCTGGCAGACGTGTTGTGTAGCCAAGACCCGTGTTGTGTTGTGTTGTGTTGTGAGTGCCTCATCAGAAGCAGGAGTGTTGATAAGAAAAACATTCTGGATCTCCAACCATATACCCATAAGGCCAGCTCTTAGAAACGGAAATGGAAAATTAACAACAGTGAGCCAAATGGCTTGTCCTGTAATGAGAGTCAGATGGCTGGAGCACAAAGCAGCACTTTAAAATTACATGTCAGAATTTATTGCCCTCGAATCCATAATCCATAGAAACTCAAACACACTGGACTTCCCACAACAATGGATGAGGGGCTGTGGGAGAAGAGGAGAAATTGTCAGTCTTTCCTGCAGGGGCGTGTAAAATCTCCCCTTCCATTATGAAGCCTCTTTTTCTTCTGGCCAAACCTGGCAATGGCCACTGGGCTGTCCCACACTGAAAAGGATCAAGCAAATTGTAGCCAATTTGCAGCATTCTCCTTGGCAGCTGCCAGAAGCAACCTTACTCGCTTCTCCCTCAGAGTCGCAGAGGGTAGCTGAGGTCAGCAAAGAAAGAGCATGGTAGTGCTAGTCTCTCGCGCCACATTGACTATGAAGGAGAGGATGTGAGTGGGTTCCCGTGGATCCCCAGAGATCCATTCCTTTTCCCAGTCTTTAGCATTCCACAGATGGGAGAACAAGCAGAAAGATCGAGCCACCAAGGATTGTCAGCTGCTCTCTGTGAATTCTGTAGGGGGGGCATCTAGTAAAGACACCCAGTGGAATGTCACTCAAGTGACCCTACTAGTTACATGGGCCAGTCCCTTTGGCACGCACAGGCATTCCACTAATGACAGCCAGATTGATTAGGACTTGCTCAAGTGAGTGGACCTGGAAGGAAGGATGTTTGTTTTTCCCACTTCAGTAGTTTCTTTGAGGCAAATGGTGTTGCTGAGGAAGATGGAATGAGGTGCAAGGCCGTTCTATTATCACTCATCATCCCACAAGCCATAGAGTGAGCAGGCCAGGATTCATGAACACAGTATAATTTAAAACCTTTAACCCGCATACCTACACTCACACATCAGTCCAGAAATGATTGCTACACGTAATTCCTTCCCCGACCTGCCTTCTATGGAGTCCAGGCCTTTGCTGCCTTCCTCTCCTGCCCTGATCAACTATGGGGGCCCCTATAGCTCTTCTATGAGCCTACTAGGCTTAACGGGACCTGGAGGACCAATTGTGAGCCTGGGAATTCCACCCACCATCTCCCCCTGCTCCCCCCAGGAAGCCACTCCAGCCAGGCTTAGCCTGGCAAGCAGCTGTCACTGCTTCCTGGGAAGGAAGCACTGGCTTTTGGTAGCCTGCACTCTCTCTGCACTGGTGGCCAGCAGGCTCCAGACAATGTGCTGCTGACCGCCACTGGACTTCCTGTCCCACTGGGACTTACATACTGCCTCAGCTGCTATAGCTTCAGGCACACTTAGCTAATTGCTGTTTTCCCTTTGGCTTTTCAGCTGCTTAGCTTTCAACTCTATAGTTTAATGGAAAAAAGCATTTCCACCTCTCCTCATGAAGAACATTTATTTTACTTTCTCACTCCAGCCGGCATTGATCTACGGAGAAAAAAAATCCTTCTGCCTCTCATCTCTCTCTGCTGGACTATAAAATTCTTCATCTTTCCCAAAGCCCAAATAAGTAGGTAGGACACGCAGGGAAGAGGCAATACATTTTTTTTCAAGACCTGCAGGCCCTATCGTCTCCCCACAACCACCCCGGTTCTACCTTTTTTTAAGTGTGGCCCATAGCCCATACACACATGATATACAAGTGTCATATGTGCCAACAATTTTTGGAGGATAAGAGATCTAGGCTTGGATTCAGTAGGATTTGGCAGTTCCCACTGACAAGGCAGCATACCAGATTTTATATGTTTATATTACATATTGTCACCCTTTCTGGTAGATACAGTACTAAAACTTATAAAGTGGTTCCTTTATATAAGGTGTGAGATAGATAGATAGATAGATAGATAGATAGATAGATAGATAGATAGATAGATAGATGAGAGATAGATGAGAGATAGATGGACGGATGGATGGATGGACGGACAGACGGATGGACGGAATTGTATAGGTTCCTTTGTTTACATTATTGTGAGAGAAGGTCTGGATAATCATCACAATAGCAAAGAAACGAATCATCTTTGCTTGAAAGATCATTTCCGTGTGCCTTTGAGTAGCTTTGTGTACATTTCATCTGCAAATGTCTAAATTCAGCTCTAACACTAATTCAGAATACAGAAGGTTTTTATTTTTCAGATGGTGGGCTATAACACCCGTCACTGTTGACCATAGTCCACATAAGCAAGGCCGGATGGCATTTAATAACACCTGAAAGGCAACTAATTTCAACCAATGACATAAGTGAATGTCTTGTCCAATCTAATTCCATCAGTAAAAACCATTTCCACATCAGTAGAAACACACCACTGTGTTCAGACCTATATATCCATATCTGATAAATAACCTAAGTGAAAATCACAAATAATTATTGCTTCAAAGCTTCTCTTTATTTAAACTTGGGCTGTTTAGCATCGCACTTCTTGTGCAGTAACCTCTCCTTGAAGGCAAGTTCTTAATCAGACTGAGAATACAACAGATCTAAAATCATTCTTACATCAACAATATAAAACAGTCACATTCAACCATCTCCTTTAGCTAATGTCTACTTAAACACTTGAAAACAACATTCCAAAAATCAATGCTTCTGCCTAATTCTCCTGGTTTATACAAGTCTTTAAGATGCAACTGGTACTTGGAAAGTTTAGTATGCAATTCTTGATTGTAAAGTGCTTCTGTGCACACTTTACAGATCAGGCACGCCAACTTATATAAAACCAGTTGAGATATAAAAATATGGTTATTACAAGAGTACCAAATAGCACAATATTACAATTATTTATCATTAACATCACATGTATGTTTGTCCCCCAAATGATTATTTTCTTCAAAGTGATAACTGTAGTGTATATCCAGAGAACAAGCTTAGCATACTATGAAGCTAACTTCAGCCCTTATAACAATGAATACTCAGCATGTCCCAACCATCTATATTACCTACAGATATTATTATAAATAATTTTCACAAGTTGTATGAATGTTTTATTGCACATGGTACAGCATGTATTCTCACCCTTCATTCAACAAGTTTAAATTATTTGCCCTCTGTTTTGCCATGCAGACAATGGCATTACACTTAAGGGTTATGTTAAAAGTGGGGGTAGGAGGAAGCACACAAAACAAAAACCATGTCTTGGGCTACATGGCTTTTGTAACTCCTTAATATATCTGTTGCCTCCTTAAAGGGCTCCGTTGGCTTCCTCCTCTTGTAAAGTCATTAAAAGTTTTCAATTAAAAAAAATGCAGCACCACTGGCTTTTTCCCACTGCAAATACAAAAAAAGCCTATGCAGACATGCTGCATAGATGGTGATGCATGTCTTCTGCTTTGTAGAATTAGGATTGCCTGGCCTATGTTCCATTAAAGATCGTATTACGTATGGCTTAATGCTGTTTGCAATTAACGATATAACTTTCAGTCTCAGAATTTGTCAATTGCTCCTATGTTTCTTTTTGATTAATGCTTTGGACTGAGTTTGCCATGGAAGAAAACCAGGAAGAAAATGGCACAGTGATCATCATCAAGCTATTCTGACAACCTATACAGCTGGCAGTGCAGGGTCTTAATTTAAGATCAAGAATGGCCATAAAAGGCTGTGGGTTTATAACATGCAGCAGTAACAAAGGAATTACAAAAAACTTGCCTGTTCATAATATACTGTCAGAAGCCAAAAAGTGTATATATCAACCAAAAATTACCATATGGAAACTAAAAATGTGTGCATTGAAGAGGTTAGTTGCGACAGCTTTCCAAAAACCTATTTGCCACTCATAGAATCCTCTTCACCATTCCCACAAAATTCCCTCCCATGGATAAAATTGCACCATTGCAAGAATTATGTCCATGTAAGGTATGGATGTATATTTACTATGGTACTGCAACTTCAAGAAGTCTGTTATTTTTTCGCTTGCAAGTGGGGATGCTGCCGTTTTTCTGGTTGCTTCGTACAAATTTTACACATACTTTGTCTTGTCTGAACTGAACCAGGAACCTAGAGAAGGCAAAAATACAGGGGCTAGTTAAGGAATGTAGCTACCACACTTAGGTGTAACTGCAAAGAAAAAGCAGGATATGTTAATAGTTCACAAATTCTCTTATATTAGTAATAAAATAGAACTAATAGCACATTGTGCTACAATAGAGTTAGTCCTTGACTTACAATGGCAATTGGGACCAGAATTTCCATCACTAAGCAATGCAGTCATAAAGTATGACTGCATTGCTTAGTGACAGCAATTCCTGCAGTCCTGGTTGCCGTTGTTAACTGAATCCTACGGTTCTTAGGCGAGGCAACTTCCTGCTGGCTTCCCACAATCAAAGCTGCTTGGCAGCCAGTCCTCAGTGCAAATGGACTGCCAAGCAACCAGATTGTGATCACATGACTATGGGGTGCTAGGATGACCAGAACTCCAAGGACATGTTGTAACCACCATTCATTTAGTGCTGTTGTAACTTGGAATGGTCACTGACCAAATAGTCGTAGGTCAAGGACTACCTGTAGTTTTCTTTTTGTACACTCTGTTTCCAATTATTTTCTGTAAGTCAAAGTGTGGGACACCCCCAAATTTGCCTGCAGTAGGACCAATTCTGTTAGGCAAAGCAAGGCAGACTGAAGATCAAGAATAGTATTAAAGGGAAGAAAATCAACATCTTTAAAAATTTCAAAAAGTAGTAGAAGAGGAATGGAGTGAAGGAACATATACATTTTCTAATGCAGCTATCTAAACACCCGTGGCTTATATAATACAAATTCTACGCCCAACCTGAAAAACCCAAATCCTTAAAAAGAAGAAAGAAATAAGAAGAGACATTTTCTCCTGTGATACTGTGTAAGAGTGTGCGTGTATGCCTTATGTCTCTTCTAAGGTGATGCCTTTTTTTAAAAAAAAGAGTAAGATTTACATTAATTTTAATTAATTTTCCTTAAAAAGAAAATCATGTCCCCATATAATCAGAGATTCCTTCTACTAAATACTCTTTTTTTATCTTCTTACATAAGCAACCCCCACCCATAGTGGGCTTACTTTTGAGAAAACAAGACAGGACTGTAGTCTTTAGAGCCCAATTCTAGCAAGTCATGGAGCATTAGAAGCTTAAAGTGCACATGTTTTCACCTTAGCTCCATCACATTAGAGAAGTCCTCCCCTCACCAACTCTGTTTAAGATTGCTGCATTGTCCTTATTCCCATTAGCAGCAGAGGAGCAGAGGAACAGGCTTGCCAGGAGAAAGCCTCACTACTCCTTCCCCCAGTGAATCCAGCTCTAGACTGCTGGTCTCCCACCATCATTAGCTCACTGGTTTCCCTTCACCCCAAGTGACCCACCATAAGATTTCTGGCCACACATAATCTAGCTTCCGATTTCCCACAATGACTAACTAAATGCCTCTGGGAAGGGTAGCAACTCAGCAAATGATATCCAGAAGCACGCTGCTTAACTCTGGCAATAGTACAGAGTCATCAGAACTAGTAAGCTAATCACACTATCCTCCTTGGACTTATCTAATCTCCACATCTTGCAATAAGGAATTTCATCGCTTAATTATGCTCTATGTGGAAAAACACCTTTGTTTTGCCAATTATTCTGCTACTCTGGTGGAAAACCCTAACTATTTTTGGCTTCTTATTGCAAGGGATGAAAAGCATCATTTTGTGGTGTTATAATAAAAGTGAATTGTGTTGTGGCAGCCACACATGATTGATATTATACTAATCTTTCTCACATCCACCTCTCTATGGAAAGGAGAAAGAATGGAAATACTCTTGGGTATCGTGTTGCTCTACAGGACTTAAATAACAATAAAGCAAGCATTGGAAAAATACAGATATCAAATTCTGTCTTCCCTTTCATGATTGGACCAAGCCTGGTGTACAGGAAATTCTACCACTGGTCAAAACCATCAACAAATCTGAGTCTCCTGCACACGCAGCAGAACAGTATTTTTCCCAACTTGATAAAAACAATGTTTTAAAATGGAATTTTAAACTACTTTGATATTTTTAAAATTCTCTTTTCCAAATGCACACCTCCCCCCCTCCCCAAAATCTACTGGCTGGTATATTCTTTTCTATAGCATAATGATACATATAATTAAATTTTATATGTGAGGGACAACTGAAAGTAGATGCTCCTCAGCTTCTTTTAGTTCCCTCAGCAAAAATATATTTTTAAGGTGAGACTCAAATGAACAATCTGAAGGGAGTACGTGAAAGTACAGCTATCATTTAACCAAGAGACTGAATCCTACAGTTATCTATTTCTTTTCTTTTGTGATGAATTATATTTATTTATAGCCTCTTCCCCTGCATCACTGGCTGAAAACTAGATTAATTCTAGGTCATTAAACTGTGAAACTGTTTCTGTTTTGTTATGTTTCATCTTTCTCATGCAAAGTGAAGCCTGGGCAAAATGGACTATATTCTACTATATTTCATTTTAGTACATTATTTGAAGTATAATGTTTCAAGCCTTTGAATACAAAAGACACCAAGTGAAGTTTAATCAATTTTTCCTCTTTATGACATTAAAAACTGGCTGCCACTCTGAATACCATAAGTATTGGCATTTCAGCTCATGCCAAAGTAAGCAAACTGAACATTTGTAGATCTCAGTATGTTAGAGTACCTTCTGCAAGAAAGTAATTATAGCAATAAATTAGTGGAAAAAGTGACAAAATGAATCGGGCTCTATTTTAGAAGGATATACACTATGATTACTTGGAAGGTCTGATTTTATCATCTCTTATGCAAGACAAATTATTCATGCAATAGAACCAACTATTTCTCACAGATAATGCAGTACTAGGCAAAGCATTCAAAAGAGATGCTCTATAATGCATGTTAGTGTGAATAAAGCATCTCTCAATGAAACATTTAAGCAGCTATGTGCTTTGGGAAGCTCACACAGCATGCACGGATAACTAAGGACAGCTTTCAAAGCATCATGAAAGCTTTCCAATGGATGCAGCTACTTAACACTTCAAGAAGAGGTGCTTTGCTTGCACTATTACAAAAGGACCTCTTTTGAATGTTGTCAAGATGAATCTGGAGCTAGGAATTTCTAAAGACTCTGTTAGGAAATATGAACGCACAAATAGCATGCATATTCCTACAGTACAGGCTGCTTTGTTAGTGCAAATTACATAACTAACCAACAAAAGGACCATGTGGGGTAGGCTCTGGAAATAGAAACAGTGCCAGAAAGGGGAATAAAGGGATAAGAAAGTTCCTTTGTAAAAAGAATAGCTTTCCAGTAAGGGGTCCCACAACTGACTACTGAATTTACTACAGAGATAGGCAACCTTTAACTCCCCTGTTAAAACTCCCATGCTGATAGGAGCTGATGACAAAATCCAAAACATCTGGAAGACACAAGGTTGCCTATTCTGGGTTTCAATGCCAGTGAGACTAGGTGAGAAATGGGTGTGCAGAACAGGACTTTCCTTATGTGATATCCATATACTACTCCTACTTCTGTAGCTTCTGTTTCCATGTGTTTTCCCTGACTCCTGTGGTGGCCTGTTTTTAACAGCTGTTATGTTTTCACATTAAAGATGTTAATTTATTTTCAGATTGAATGCTCTCGTTACATGATTTCCCTGCTTTGATTTCAAGTTATGTAGAATTTTTTTTAATAGAAACTATTTAAATTAGACAAGTCCAAACATACTCATCAGATATTTCAATGTTGAGCTTCTGCTTGGTTTGACTAAGCATTGTGCGGTAAAGCTTTGTGGCCATTTCAATCAGATGATCACTGCTGAACAGGAAATCACCCTTTCCAGCTGCTCCAGATCCCTGGAAAAGAGAATTAATTAAGGTGTTGAGAACAATTCAAATGGATCAAGCCCCATGAATGCATGAAAGTACCAGAATCCTGTCCTTTTACTCTCTAAGATTACAATTGCCAGTTCTTTATTATCGACATTATTGATGTTATTTTATTCCTACCTCTTTGAGATGCACAGCAAAGAAACCATCACTCTGGGAGCTCATGGATACTTTAGTGACATCCCCCAAAGGAACCTCTGATTTGATATGCCCTGACTTCTGATCAGCAAGTAGGACATTATTTTTTGTGAGCAAGAAAATCCTAGCCGTGCACTGAAAAAGAATAAGAGTAATTACTTCTGTGCAAATTTAAAAAAAAATTAACTACCAATGTATTAATGTCTCTGTGCAAACACTTTTAAGTCAAGGTAACTAAAGAGGAAGATGATACAGTTCAGCAAATAAAGCCGGACTCTTAAGCTTCCTTGAAATGAGAATAAATTACCTGGGTTACAAGATTATTATAAGAAAACAGTTATCCAGGAACAAGATGAATTATTAAGTGTGATTGATGTTTATGTGTTAAATGTTGCACCATGGAATCACCATCCTAAACACACAATAAGATGAAAGAGAACTGCATGTAACATTAGAAATATTAATTACGAAATGAATTAATCATTGCTATTCCTTCACCCTGGGGACCGCCGATCAAAACTCAAAGAATACAAGGTAACTCAGAAGAACAAAGCTCTATAGGATGCTTAAGTCAGGATGAAATATTTTATGTATACCAATCTCTTCCCATGTAGAAATGATTTTACCTTTCCATTTGCTCTATTAACTTTGTTTACCACTTCAGCAATAATAATTTTTTCTTCAGCAGCATCCTTCAGTTTCTTGTACTTGGGGTTCTTACTGATTTCAAGATAAGCCCCCTGGAAAGGCTGTCCGACACTTTAAGAGAGGTAAAAGAAACATACATATAATCAAAACTCAAATACACATGCAATACTCTAGGTCTTCTTGAAATATCTTAATCCTACAGATCACTATTGCATGGCTGAATGGCTGCTAGGTGACCTTTGACTGTTTTCAAAAACCTAACAGAATTAGATGGCAGGCTACAAAGAAATATCGTGGCTATAACTAGCCAGAGAAGTAGGGGTGAATTAAATCAATTCCAGTATGGAGTCTTTGGTGCTCTCTGAGCTTAGTTGTTTGCTTGCAGACATTTCATTACCCCACTAGGTACTGAACTACCAAGGAGGAACCATCAAGGAACTACCAAGGAAAAAACCACACTCCCGCCAACACAGGCAGGGCAAACTACTGTATATAAAAAGGGAACAAACCCCACACTCACTAGCGCTGATGATGTTACCTAGCTGGGTAATGAAATGTCTGCAAGCAAACAACCAAGCTCAGAGAGCACCAAGGACTCCACAGTTCAACCCTGAGCTACAGATATTCTTTTCGATTGGAATCAATCCCAGGCTCAAAAGACTCTGCTTTTGAATTCTGAACCTTAAGTGCAATAAAGGATTCCATGATGTCAGATAAAGAAAGAGAAATTAAAGGGTACCTTTTCATTTTCTTAGCATGTGGTCCTCCTCCTATGGCAACCTTTCCTCAGCCTCGACAGCAAAGATAAGCTTCTGAGGTCCAGGTACTTTGCCCCAACTCCCATCAGCCTCAACTAGTATGGCTAATGGCAAGCAATAATGGCAGTTGTAGTCCAAAACTTATGGAAAAACCTACAGAAAGTGCCTATCCTTACCCAGCAGTCTAAAGTTAAAGTCCAGTATATATTGCTATTCCTTCACCCTAGGGACTGCCAATAGGCCACAAGGTTAAGGACGGCTATTTTATGGTTGTGTTGACAAATACGTGACCTTTTAGGTATGTAGTCCAAGAGCCGGTATAAGATAGCCCCCTCTGTCCCTGCCAGACAGTTTCAGAGAACACTCTTAAGAAAACAGACATCACCACCATTAGATGAAACTGAATTTGTAAGATACCTTTGACTGATATTATCTGGTCACAGGCTGAAATAGTATCACCATCTCTTGGATTTTATTGTATTTAATAATTGTATTTTATATTTGTATTATT